ACCACCGTCGGCGAGGCGAAGGCTCTCAAGGAGAAGTGGGGTTTCGGTGGTTTCCCCGTTACTGGTCAGTATTTCCCTCGAAAATTTCTTCCTACCCCCAGCTCTACATGATTACAAACATTTTCAATTATAACTTTCGTTCCACCAAAAGACGACCATGTCGTCATGCGGAGACACTTTACTATGATCCCAGCTTCTTCTACCAGAGAGAATGTGTCCACGTCTGTTAGCGAGCCATGGCTAATCACCGTGAGCAGAGAACGGCAAGCTTGGCTCCAAGCTGCTCGGTATCGTCACCAACCGTGACATCCAGTTCGAGGAGGACTCCAACCAGTCCATCGCCAACGTTATGGTCACTGACCTAATCACCGCCCCCTCCGGTATCGACCTTGTCGAGGCCAACAAGATCCTCGCCAAGTCTAAGAAGGGCAAGCTGCCCATCGTCGACAAGGACTTCAACCTCGTCTCCATGATCTCCCGCTCCGACTTGAACAAGAACCAGCACTTCCCCCTGGCCTCCAAGCTGCCCGACAGCAAGCAGCTCCTCTGCGGTGCCGCCATTGGCACTCGTCCCGAGGACAAGGAGCGTCTCCGCCTCCTCGTCGATGCCGGTCTCGACGTCGTCATCCTCGACTCCTCCCAGGGTAACTCCATGTACCAGGTTGATATGATCAAGTGGATCAAGAACGAGTTCCCCGGCGTCGACGTCATTGGTGGAAACGTCGTTACCCGCGAGCAGGCCGCTACCCTCATTGAGGCTGGTGTTGACGGCCTCCGTATCGGTATGGGCTCTGGCTCTGCCTGCATTACCCAGGAGGTCATGGCCGTCGGCCGGCCCCAGGCTGCCGCCGTCCACTCCGTCAGCAGCTTCGCCGCTCGCTTCGGCGTTCCCTGCATCGCCGACGGTGGTGTCCAGAACGTCGGCCACGTCGTCAAGGGTCTCTCCCTTGGTGCCTCCACCGTCATGATGGGCGGTCTCCTGGCCGGTACCACTGAGTCCCCCGGTACCTCCTTCGTCTCCCGCGAGGGTAAGCTCGTCAAGGCCTACCGTGGTATGGGTTCCATCGACGCCATGCAGGACAAGAAGGCCGGCAACGGCGGCAAGGACAGCCAAAAGAGCAACGCTGGCACTGCCCGCTACTTCTCCGAGGGCGACAGCGTCCTTGTTGCTCAGGGTGTCACTGGCTCCGTTGCTCACAGAGGGTGTGTTTCCTCTCCGTTTTGTTGTACTGACCATTATGCTGACCGCGCTGCAGACCTATCTCCAAGTTCATCCCCTACCTGGCTGCCGGTCTCAAGCACTCCATGCAGGACTGCGGTATCCAGTCTCTCAAGGAGCTCCGCGAGTCTGTTGACAACGGCATTCTTCGTTTCGAGCTGCGCACTGCCAGTGCCCAGATGGAGGGCAACGTGAACATGGAGTCTTACGAGAAGAAGCTGTTCGCCTGAGAAATGGCGAGCAACAACTTGGAATGATGATGTGATGGGAATATATATGGAAAATGGTTGAGGCAAAAGTTATTGGGCATGGATGGGGAAAAAGGGATTTACTCAAGAAAATGCGCCTTTCCTCCCTCAAGGGTATATACGCGCTACATAAGGGAAGGGACGGAAGCAGACAGTCTTGCTTAGGGCGGCAGTGCTTAAAAAGTCTTCAGCGGAGTTTTTGGAGTCTTACGGGCAGGCTTGAAGTGCCACAGTAGAGATGAAGCGTATTGAATACCACATCCCCCACACGGGGGCACGAATGAAGAATTTTCAACGATTACGAACAATGGTCATGTCCGATTTTCTGCCTGTGATGCTGTCTGACGAGGGGTGCTCGGCGTGGTATCTCCATAACCGGGCGGTGGGTCTCCGCACCGAATGGGTACCGGCACGGCGGAGACGGGTTGACCAGGTTGAGCCCTCTTTTCCCTCATATGACAGCCGCTGTTCTAACTCTAAGATTCTCAGTTTCTCACAACAGGCTTCAAGTACACGTTGAGCGCGCCCTTGGCCCACAACACATAGATCATCTGCCTCTCCATCCAATCCTGGCTGTCGTCGGCGAGCACCAAGTCAAAGTTCCAAATCATCCTCGCCAGCATGATTCTCATCTCGACGTAGGCCAAGCTGGTCATGGTTAGCCTCTGGCTGGTCTCTTCCCTCCGAAAGATACCATGCAATGCTAAGGTGACGTGGAACAGCAGCGAACTAAGGATAGAGAGACTCACTTTCGTCCAAGGCAATTCCGAGGCCCCAGGTGGAACGGCTGCAACGCCTCCCTCTTGTCCGTCGCATACTCCGGGTCTCCCAAAAAGCGCTCCGGATGGAACTTGAACGGGTTCTTGAAGTTTCTCTCGTCGTGGTAGGTGGCCCACTGGTGAATCGCAACGATAGTCTGTGTAGGCTGGTCAGCGAACATCCAGCAGCAAACCTCCTTTTCATCTCGGCCACAATTCCTGATCGCTCGACGGCCGTTAACAACTCACATTCTCTGGGATGTACTGCCCGCGAATTGTCGCCCCGCCTTTGGGCACCTCCCTCGGCAGCCCCGTGGGTACTGGCGGATACATACGCAGCGCCTCGTCTAGGCAGGCCAGCATGTACGTCAACCTGTTCACCGACGTTAGGTCAATCTCCTCCTCGGACGCGAACATTGTCCGCACCTCCTCCACCAGCTTCTTCATCTTGTCCGGGTTCTTGAGCAGCAGGTATGTCACCCCAGCCAAGACCGTCGCCGTCGTCTCGGAACCGGCGATGATGAGGATGCTGCTATTCGCCTCGAGCTCGTCTAGCGACATGTTCTATACGCTCGTCAGCGACAAAGATGCCACTTATTTGCTGGTAAGAAGCCAAGTAAGAGAGAAGCAAAACTCACCCACTCATCCTTCTTCTTCAACAAACCCTCCACCAAGTCCGACCTCGGCCCGCTCTTGCCCAGCTCGATCCGCCTCAGCACCTTCTGCATCGTCATCTCCCGCTGCTCCTCTCTCCGCCGGTGCATCGCCTCCGTCGAAAGCGCCGCCGTGATAATACGCCGCAGCCACGAGTAGTGGTTTGCCGTCTGGAACGCCACGCCCACCCGCACCATCTGGAACACGGTCCGCACCCACGGGTGATAGTCCGAATTGTCCAGACAACCAAACGGCTCCCCGAACGCGAGGTCGCCAATGATGTCGAACGTGCAGTAGTTATACCACAGCGTCAGATTCACCGGCTCCTCATCCCCCTTCCTCACAAACGGCGTAGCTTCATGTATAGAAGCCGCCGCCTGCCTCGCCGCCTGCTCCTTGAGCCGCTGTATAAACAGATCAACATACTTCATGATAACAGGCTGCTGCTCCCTCAGCGCGCGGTCGCTGAACCCATGCGCCATCTGCCGCCGCAGCGCAGCGTGCTGCGGCCCCAGCGCCGTGATGATGTCCCGGGGCAAGCCCGGGATCGGCCGGTAGAACGTGTCCGACTTCTCAAACGTGCCGGCGACGCCGCCCCCCGCGTTGGCCCCGACCTTGTGGCCGAAGATCACCTTCCACGCGTCCGCGTCCGAGAACGCCAGCTCGTCCGGCGCGACGCGCACGACGGGGCCGTAGAGGCGGTGGAGGTCGAGCATGTCGAAGGAGATTGTGCCGCGGACCAGTCTGTAGCAGTACGCGGCGCGGGTCGCGCGCATCAGGAGAGGTCCGGGGAAGTGGCGGAGCGGGTGGAAGAAGATGTTGTAGACAACGTAGGAGACGGTGTAGATGGACGTCTAATTTATGTGAGTTTCGGTCACAAAGATTCCGAGGACGTGACAATGAAGGCATCTCGAACGTTTACGGCGGGAGGCACTTACAGCAAGAAGTACGAGGCCGAAGGCCTGGAGCATCAGAGTGGTCACCGCCATGTTGTGTCAGTTGCGATTGATTCCAACACGATAGATACTACTGACGCTACACACCTACCATCTCTTCAAACAAGAGGTCTGGACTCGTCGTGGTATTCAGACTTTTTTCTCATTGTTAGCTTCAGGGGCAAAGCAGCCCACGCGTCGATGCCTCAGCTCCTTCCTTTGCTCAAGGCATCCAGAAACCCTCATTGTCAGTCATTCCGAACACGACAACCTCTACACAGCGTTACCCTGTCTCAATGAATCCTCATTCCCGCTAATCAGACCGACAAATTTTCTCCACAAGACGACTAAACAAGCAATCTAGGCAATGCAAAAGCCAAGACGGGAAACCTCCCATAAGCTGTCCTCCGCACCACAACATCAGACGGTAATCCGTAGCACGAACCTTCCCGCAGTCAAAGTCTTGAGGGGTGCGCCATGGGAAACTATACCCGCAAGCCAGCCCATCCAGCGGTTCTCTGCCTGAACTGCCGCGCGTTTCATTGCAGGAACGGTCGACCACCCTCCCGGGCTCTCGCTGCTATCGGGCCCTGCCATCAGTCCGCGATACGAGCAGCGAATCGCATTCACACCCGAACGAAAACGAGCACGTCGTGTTCTTCATAGTATATAGTTATGGTGTATACGAGCCCGGGCCCTCGGTGCCGAGTCGTTCAGTTGCCAACAGTTTTCAGAGGTTGGTGTAGCGCATGCTTTTCTGTCTTTGGATACTGGTGTGGATGGGTTTACTTGATTGCGGCGCAGCTGAGAAGCTGTGTTCGTCTAAACCTATCTTTGTTGATGTTCTGTGTCTTTTATGGAGCCTGGCAAGATTATTGAAACATATCCGCAGACATAAGTAACGGCCCGTGGCATGGCTCGCTTTGATCACCACGAAACATCAAAAGTCTTTGAAATCTTGAAGGAAATTCCGACCTCAGCAAGCCATTGTATTGATGACCTAGAGAATTCCTAGAGAACATAATGATAATTAAGCGTCAGACGATGGCTGCGCAAAGAAGTAAAAGTCTGTGGTCCGTTCCCAATGCGTTGATTACCCCGTACATGCAGACAGCGGCTGTCAACACGGCCTCATGACAAATAGTAAATCCGCCAGTCTTGATGCGTGCAGTCATGTTTAACTCCTTCAGTAGTCCACAGGCTCTTGCTTGATGAATGGAATGTGTTCCCTGGCGGGGAGAGTTGGAAGCGGCCGCTGTAGTATGGTGCAGTTTGCCCCTGTGGCAAAACTGGGAATATCTCCCGCTTCTCTCTTGACATTGTCCTTGAAATCCTCTTCATCTAGTAAATGTCGGGCGTGTTGCTTCTTTTTGGTCTTCTTCGACTGCTTCAATGCGGCTTGTTTCTTTCGTTGCGGCTGAGGTTGACGGCGGTACGGCTGCTTTTTGGGCTGAGCATTGTCGTGCTTAGCTGAATACACTGATTCAATCTTGCTCTGTGCTCGTTGCATCTTGTACTTGACACTGCAGTAGCTTTGCCCGGTGGCCATGATAGTCTGTGACCCAGGCACGAGTTGGCAAGCCTGCCCCGGTCGAAGTACCGTGTCGGGATCTTGAACCAATTCGTTGAATGTGATGCTGCTCTGGCGATTGTATTCGTAAGTTCGCCAATCTGGAGCATTATAAGCGCTCGAAGGATCTTGGCTCAACTTGAGTGAGAACTGTTTGGTGTGAGGAAGGGGGATGGACGGCATCCCGCTTTGCACCCAGATGGCAACCCAGCAGTTGTGCGATTTGATGGGGGCTTTGTTGGAGCGTAGACGGACCAAGTACTCGGATCGGATCGCCTTTCTAATGCTCTTGCCGCCGCGGCGAGATGGCACCTTTGGACATGTGTCGAATCCGTGGGCTCGAGTGTTGCACAGGGGGCATGCATCGATGAAACCATGATCATCCACTGGTCCGATGCAATCGCAAACCTCGTGGCCAGGCCTATCACAGTTACCACAGACAATCGCTGGCGGCACCGGAGCTGGCAGTTGCTTGCGTTGCGAATCTGTAAGAGCGAGGTTCTCTGGGTGACTTCTCTCCACTTTTGGCAGAGCAAGTTCATGATGGGGACCCAGGCTTTGCTGCTTCCAAGAGGCAAGCTCTTGGCGGGCCTCGTCTAGCTCTGAGAGTGCTTTCAGGAGCTGTGCCTCGACATTCTCTTGCGGATTGGCCTGCAAAGACCTACTGAAAGGCTGAGAAGGCATGGACGTATTCTTATCAGCACCAAGGTCCGCACCCATCGCAATTGCTGGTGTGTGTCCAAGTCCAGGCTGACTAGGAGTAAACTTCATCGAGGACCAGGTCGAAAGGGCTCTGGCCAGGCTGCCTTCGTCTGCTCTGGGAGACTCCTTGGTGGATTGTCCAGCAATATGAGTGATTGAGAGGTTGGGAGGCAGCTCGGGGTCCTTCCAGGCATCATCAGGATCGGTAACGGAGACGAAATCCCCAGCTACAGATCCAATCGAGCAGCTGGAGCCAGCCTGGTCAGACACAACGCAGACAATATCATCGTAGACGGTGTCGATAGACCTGTCGCCCAAATGGCACCCCTCGGCTTGGAGACCCAAGCCTTTGATAAGAGTGCCACCGACCAGGGTGCTGCAATAGCGAGAGAAGAGAGCTGCGTCGATGTGGTACACATTCTCCAAGACGAAGTTGACCGAGAGGCTGGACGGCAGCAACGCCGTTCCGCCTGGACGCGTGTCGTGGATGATGAACACGTTGGTGGCGGCGTTGCCGATCGTCAACTTCCCACCAAAGGCGAAGATATCGCCGTTGGCAGGTTCGGGAAGTGTCTGCATGTCTGCCATCACCCGTCGATCGTTCGCACATCCAAGTTCAGAAGCGAGGAAAAATTTGTTGTCTGTAGGAGATTATCGATGTGCAGTTGGCGACTGGCAGAATTTTCGTGGGAAGGATGGAAGTGCCGAGAAGAAAATGCTACCTAGGTAAGGTGTGTAGGTAGGTAGTGAGCTTTCATCTGAGAAAAGAAGGAAGTCGCGACGAAAAGGAAGGTGCGGCCGCCTTGTCCAGTCTTTGCTAAAGCAGGTTGCGCCTTCCAATGTTGGACTCATTCATTTGGAAGGCGCCAGAGTCATGTAGAAGCCTTGGACTTGATTCACTTACCCTTCTCAATGCAGTGACAGTGGTCTTTTCCTTCCTCAAGATGGCTTAATCAGGAATTTTATATCAGGTTTGCTCGTTAAACTCGGCAACTTGGTTGAATCCCGACTTCCACCTCGAAGATGAGTACTATCTAGACCCTCGCAGGCGCTATGTCGGGTTTGCTCTGAATATCAACAGAATATTTCGGATTGGTCGTTGCTACTGGACGAGTGCTCGTCACTTATCATCCAACATACTGTGTAAGTCATCCCAGGTTCTCAGCTCAACAACGATGTGCCTGGCAAAGCAGCGAATCAAGCGTGCGCTTCAGGGGCATCAATTTGCTGCTCAGGCTTGCTTTCGCTGATACAGACTACGGACGGAATAAACCCAGCAGGGATAATTTGAGCTAGCAGAGCTATAAGGGGAAACCACAAATAGGTCCGTAGTTTGAACACTGGGGGTGGTCATGCTTTCAGACTGTGTGAATCAATCATGTGTAACCTCAAGAAACCATAGTCATCAAAGGCTTGTAACTCAAAGCCTTTGGACTCTTTGACAGATGTGCTATAATACAAGGAAACGACAACGCCGACGGACCTTTTTTGTATCCAGTGACTCGACCCAGCAGTTTTTCAGTCAAACAGCCCGCCAATGCAAAATCCGCTCGATGCCAGACTCTTCGAAAAACGATGATGAATAATGATAATACATGCTGGAGAATGCGGAACCTCTCTATCCCTTATATGCAAGATATGACCAAAACAAGACCACCATCCACGTGACTCTCCACGTTGAGAACCCAATCTCTCGGACCACGCGTCCAACCGTCGTTCTCGACCGCTGCGACGCTGCCTTCCAAGTCAACCGAGGCTTGCCGGCTCCGTAGAAGTCGTCTTGGAAGATTTCAATTCTCGGCGTGCGGTGCCCCCAGCCCTGCTTCTTTTGCTTGGTCTTGGGTGGCGGGAGAGGGGCGGAGCCGTTCATAAGCGATCCGCTTCTGGTTCGTGACGACGAGTTGGTTTGGTACCGGGTTCCGGACGATGCCGAGGTGGACCGCATGTTGTAAGTTCCTTCGTCCTCTACCTTTTCCTTGAAAGTGGGTAGGATGGCGCCATTCGGTTGCTCTGCCTCCAGAGCGAACGGCGTCAGGTTGAGGACAGGCACCAGGAACGATCGGATGCTAATGGCGACAACGCTGACGAAGATGAAGCCGACGTACTTGGCGTAAGTAGCCAGTTGGTTCGGCAACAAGCAAAGATGGGTTTGCAACGTCTTTTCCGGAGCGCCGGGAAGAGGCTTGCCATTGGCATCGACGGGGTTATACAGACTGACCATGAGGAAGCCGGGGGTCGGAACACCCATCGCCATGCTCATGCTCTTTACGGTGATCTCGCGGACGCTCTCTTTCTTAGGGGAATGAACCACCTCGCAATAGTCGTGATCGTCACCGGAAAAGACATGAACCACATTGCCCACGCTCTTCACGAGATTGACAGAGGCGTCTTCGTCCAGCACATTCTGGTATTGATAACCGCCGGAAACCGAGATTGCGTTCCGATGATCCGGGATGACGGGACCTTTCTGACCTCTTGGCGGTTTGGCAGGAGGCCAGTGCTCCCGGTACGGTCCGCAGGGAGTTCCCGGGTCTCGGTACAGCGGCACATGCGTGAGAAGAATCGTGGGAAAGTCGGGACCGTCTTCGCCTGGCGCAATCGTCGGGACGTTTTCGACGTCCGCCGTTTCCAGATCTTCCACCAAGTGATTGTACCCAAGACCCTCCACGTCGCCCCTCCAGAAGCGCAGTTCCTTCTCCACAGCCTTCCTCTTGGTGAACTTTACGTCCTTGAGAAAGACGTCCGCTGGCGTGTGAATCGGTCTCAGATCGCCTCGCTCAGCTTGCACCGATGAACTGGCGCTCAAGGAGAGAGTATCGACGGAGACAATGGAATGATTGCCAATTACGTCGACGCGATTGACGTCGCCAAAGAATGATGCGAAGCGCTCTCTGACCGACACCTTGACCTGGTCGCCGTAGCCAAGGTCGTGGTTACCCGGCAAGCTTGCAACCAGCTTGCGCCCTCTCTGCCAATTCCCAGCCTTCGTACCACCGAGGCTCGCCCAGTCGCTGAAGAATATGTCGCCGAATCGTTCGTACTCGCTCAACCAGTACTTGTCGCCGTAATGTTCGTTCCACTCCTTGGCGTGTGGCCGCTCGCTCTTGGGTCGTCGCGCAGCTGCCCATTCAGGGTCTGCCCAGTCGCCTTTGCCCGTCTTCCACTCTCGCCCGCCATCGAATAGATCGCCCAAGAAGAAGAGCGAATCGGGTATCAACTGCGATTGAAGCTGCGTGAAGCCTCTCCGAAGGTAGTTATCGGTAATGAGTACGGTCAGCTCCGACAGAGGCCACGGCCTTCCGGGGTATGAGTGAGGGTCGGTGATTTGGGGGTCGGCAACGAAAATAAGGTGGTGAGGGTTCGCTCCTGCGGGCTGTTCATTGTCAGTACCGCATCCTCCAAGCACGGGGACGCTCAGCTTACCCAGCTCTCCCAATTGCTCCATCTGCAGTCGGCAACCCGACTACTGAACACCCAGCGCTCGCCCCAAAGCAGGATGAGCATCCACAAGCACACCAGAAGGTGGGGGAAGCTCAGGAGGCGGCGCGCGGTGAGGTTCTGGCGCAGCTGCCAGCCGGCCTGGTACAGCATGTTGATGGTCATGCGTCGTCCGCGGGTTTGCCAAAAATGCCAGAGTCTTTGCGATAGTCGGGCAGCGGCGTTGAGGACAGGTCTGGCGCGGTCGCGGAAGCTACCGCCACTGTGTTGGAAGAGCAAAGCCGAAGGACCTTTGCCCTTGTAGGCGTACCCGTTGCTGTAAGGCGGAGCCATCATGCCGTGGTGCGCCCGCGTGCCATTCCCCTGCAACTCTGGGCTGGCTGCTCCCTTTTTTTTTCGGGACCCCGGAATGGAATGGTCGCAGAAGCCTGACAAGCGTGTGTGGGCAGGCTTGCGTATGCGGGTGTATGTACTCGCGCCGTGTGTGTGGGTGGATGGAATATGGGCGCGCGGTTCTTCGGCTTCGGCAGGTCGCGCGCGATTGTCTCGCTCGTCAGGAATGGATCTGGGGGTCGCAGTCTCAAATGGTTGACATGACACAAGGTTGGAACGAGGGAATGAAGCAAGGGAAAGGTCCAGTCAACACGGGTAACCTCAGTCGGGTACAACGGAACAAAGAAATCCAATGGGAAACACAAGAAACACGTTTTGCAGCTGTCTGTAGCTCCGTTACAAAGGCTGTCGGGCGCCTGCGTCGGAGAGCTGAGAATGGAAAGGGGAGATAATGGAGGAAATGGACATTGGAAAATACAGGAGAGAAGACGCGTGGCGACAATGAACCTGAAGGGAAGGTGCAGAAGATGTGTCGCCGCACCCATTTCACGGATCACGATATGGCCACGGGGCGGTCCTGGCAGCTTGGGATGCCCCCGACGCCCTCCACCGGCCAGGTCCCCGCTGGGGGGGAAACGTCGCTGGAAGCACCCGTGGACCCAGGTATGTACGCATAGCTGCTGCAGCTGAGCCCACATAAGCACCTACACTTCAGCTCGACTGGGAAGGAAGCTCCACACTGACGCTCCTTTTTCCCCGGGGCTACGCTCGGCAGGTCTAACCCGCAAAAGCAACCTACCTTCCGCTCTTGTTCCTTTTGACACGCCGAGTCTAGCCTTTACCTCATCGCAACTGAAGGATTTCCCGGCATGGGTCTTTGGTCTTTCGACCATCAGCCCAAGGCTTGGATTTCCAAGGACTCTCAACCATCAGCATCGCCTATGACGCCCTCTCACACTGACATTCCAGGCTTAGAAATCAACCTCGGTCGAGTGAACAGCCAAGCCAGAGTGATGGGCCGTGTCTAAGAGCAACAATGCATTAAACGCTCAAATGCCACTCAAAGGCATGAATGAACTCAGCTAACAAACAAGCTCTCGCCTAATCGACCTCATCAAACTCATCTCAACACCACCAAACTTACAAACAAATCCCACAGTCCCCACCGGGAACAACAAACTCGTCACACACACACCCGCGCAATGGAACAATTCGAGTTCCACCCCGCAGCCTCCGCCCCCGGCCGCTCCTGGACCGAGCTGGAACCCGGCGTCGACGAGATGCTCCTCAACGCCGACCCGGCCACCGGCCGCCGCACGACCCTCCAGCGCTGGCGCCCCGGCGCCGCCAACCGCCAGCCCCTCTTCGTCCACGACTACGTCGAGGAGATCTACCTCGCGCAGGGCGACCTCTTCGACGTCCGCCTAGGCGAGGGCTGGACCGAGGGCGCCTACGCATACCGCAAGCCCGGCATGGAACACGGCCCTTTCCGGAGCGAGGGCGGTTGTTTGATGTTCATCCTGTGCATACCTGTCGCTGCGGATGGCAAGGAGAAACAGGCCTGAAAGCAGTGTCGTGGCGAATCTAATGTTGCCGTTGGCTGAGACGGGATGTGTTCATTTTCGGGTTAATGAGGGGCGTGTGCTTTGCTGGCTGAGGTAATTCCATTTATTCAAAATAATGAAGCCATCGCCACCTCCTCTTCTCCATTGAAACGTTTCCTCCATATAGACTTGCCTCTACACACACTCAATAATCTTCGCCGAAGAGAAAGTCCCGTAAGCCGACACAACGCTGACCGGTCCGAGACTTCAACCGTCCTCCGCACACCATCATACATGACTTTATCAAAACACCACCACCATCATCGCCGTCGCCGCAAAACTCTTGGAACCGACACATGCCTCGTGACTCTCGTGCTGTACGACTCCCATTCAGCCGGCTACCGAGACGAGATTGGCTCCGTTGCAGCGTTGATACCATGTCAGATCGCAGCAAATGGCGCCTCTCCGCGGCATGTCAATGCGAGCTCGTGAGCTGTTTACACACCCAGCCCCCCAGCTACACCTCTCTACCCAACGCCGTGGGCGCCTCCCTAGTGACGACGAGATCCATGGCTCACAACATCACATGCCCTCGCTACACCACCCATCCACCCAAACCCCCAGAATCGCCAACTTCAAACCTCGTGGCTGCGAGACACCACGCAACCCCCCACGGCCCCATGCTCACTGCAACGGGCCCAGCAGACGATCACAACATCAGTCCCCCAAAGCAGCACATACACGTGGACATCGACAATCAACACGAATCATGCCTTCTTCATTAGCATATATTGGTGGAAACAAAAGACCTTCATCATGGCCAGGGGCCTCACTGGAAGACAGGGTACCATTGAGCTCCCCTCACGATGCAAGATAAGGTAAGGCTCGGAGCACGCCCCCATCAATCCGCTCTGGGAAGCATGGAAGCTTCGTCCCGAGATCCCACACCACTGTCTACAACCCAGGCACTTTTGGTAAACGGTATAAGTCGCCGTTACAGGCAGAAATGTTTGAATAAGCCGACTGGTTCCGAGGCGTGTACCCCAGGCCGAACCGTTTCTCGGAACACCATGCATGTCTCTGGCGGTAAGTCTGGCACGAGACTCACTTGCAGATTCCCATAACGTACAAGATTGGATGCTCTGTCAAAGACGTAATCGATACATTTGCGACACGAACCGGGCTTCTATTCCACTCTTGTCATGTGCCCCCAGAGTAGACTAAAATCCACTCTCATGCAGACGAATGACGCAGGCAGTCACCGATATCCTTTCTTAAGGTCGAATCCTGTGCCTGGAGCCCCCTATGAGTTACAAAAAGAGGGCGTGATGATGAAGGAGTGCAACGGAGCTTGTCTTATTCCTATGTAGAGACGTTGGTGACCTGGATGTGTCCACAAATTCATACATCTACCCGGCTATGACATCTCAAATATGGTGAGATACATGACTGAAATAATGAAACATATGGCATGGTATGTATCCTGGATCAAAAGAAACTCAGGTCTAGAAAACCCAGCTGAAGGATTCTTTCACATCAAATTGGACAGAGTGTCTGGCAGTCACGGTTAGTGCCTGTACCTCGCAGGTGACAAGAACGGCAACTTACTTGATGTCAGCAGATGACGCGCCAACTAGGACTTTGAAGGTGCCCTCCTCAGCGATCCATCCCGGGACGGATGTGTCATAGTAGCCTACGGCGTACTTATCCAGGTAAATGTGGAGGTGCTTCGTCTCCCCGGCTTCCAGGAACACCTTCTCGAAAGCCACAAGCTCCTTTTCCGGACGGGGTAGCCTCGACTTGTCATCACGCACATAAATCTGCACGGCTTCGGAGCCAGACACTAAGCCGATATTGCTCACCGCGAAGACCACCTCAATCGTTCCCCGGGACGTAAGCGTCTTGGTGCTGATCGAGGGGCGTCCGTACTCGAAGGTGGTATAGGAAAGGCCATGACCAAATGGAAATAGAGGCTCGATGCGTGCTCGCTCATAGTGGCGGTAGCCAATGTATAGGCCTTCACCATAGTTGACCTTCAGGTTCTCCCCGGGCCAATTGTTGTAAGCAGGGGTGTCTTGAATGCGCTTGGGGAATGTAGACTACAGGACATTAGTGGACGCTGGAGACGGGAGGGGTGGTACACACCGGGAGCTTCCCACTGGGATTCTTGAATCCAAAGAGTACATCGGCAAGAGCGTTTCCGGCCTCCTGTCCCTGATACCAACCTTGGATGATGGTGGGCACTTGGTCAACCCACGGCATAGCGACTGGTGTGCCAGATTGGTTGATAACGACAGTGCGGGGGTTTGCCTTGACAACTGCTTCAATCAGCCTGTCCTGGCTTCCGTCAGACGGAAGGTCCATTGTCTGTCTGTCGTATCCCTCAGATTCCCATTCCGCGTCGAGCCCGACGATGACAACAGCCACGTCTGCTGCCTTAGCGGTATCTACTGCCTCTTGGAGGAAGTCGACCTGATCTTCTTCCTTGAAACCGATCCGGCAACCTCCGTACTTGTGGGTGATGCCGAATTGCTTCTGCTTGGCGACGGGCCGGAGTTCGTTGGTCATCTCGACCTTGAGCTCAACCGGCTTCCCAGCCTCCATGTCGACGTCAACCAGATAGTCCACTGAGCCGTCAAACATGGCCTCCCCCTCTTCGGTCCAATCCCATAGATCCAAGGCAAGCTTTCCGTTGACATACAGCTTTCCAGGCCCAACACTCATGAAGCTGACAGTATGCTTTCCGGTTGTCTTCGATGTTAAATAGGTGGTAGCGATGGCTGACCATTCAGGACCAATTTCGCTGAGCGGGGCAGAGTCCCAGAGGAATAGATCTGTGTTGGTGCGTCTCTGGATGACGATGGGTTCTCCCTCAAACTTATCACCGGCGTACCAATCAATGCCAACGCCTGGCTTGCCCGACTTCTCGGTACAGTACGGCGACGCGACCGGGAGCCACTTGTAGATATGGCATCCTTGCGCAAAGGTGACTTCCTGCTCTGATGCAGTCCGAATGCTCTCCAGAGGAATGGTTCTGTAGTATGGGTTGAGACTGGCACTGCCTCCACCTCCTGCAATTGCTCGATTCGCATTTGGTCCTATCACAGCGACCTTTGTTGTTTTAGGGTTCAGAGGAAGGATGGCACCATCATTCTTCAGGAGGGTAAGCCCCTCTGCTCCTGCGGTACGAATGAGATTTCTTGTCGATTCTCGATTGTCTTCTTTCTCCGCTTCCTCTGCAGACATATCGTCGCCCTTTAGACGTTCGACCAAAGTGAGAACATTCTCGGCGGCACGGTCAATGTCCTCTTTGGCAATCTTGCCGTTCTTCATCTCTTCAATGACTTTATCGAAACGCCACTTGGAAGAGTAGGGAAATTCAATATCGCATCCCGCAATGATTGACTCGGATGTAGAGTTGGTACCGCCCCAGTCGGAAACAACAGTTCTAAGCAATGTCAGTCAAGTCTTTAAAGAAGTCATCAGAGGTAGATTTACCCATCGTAACCCCACTCGCCTCGAAGAATGTCCCGAAGCGTGAAGTTGTTCATATCCGCATGCACACCGTTTATAAGGTTGTACGAAGACATCAGAGCCCATGGATTCGCCTCTCGAACAGCGATTTCAAATGGGCGAAGGTAGATCTCGCGAAGCGGACGCTCCTGGATGAGGGAATCTATTGTCAATCTATGGGTCTCTTGCTCATTGCCCACGAAGTCTATCGAATGTTAGCATTCAAACTGATAAAATGTCATTGCCCGGTGGACACAAACGCTTTATGGTTGCTGCAACTCCTTTTTCCTGTAGGCCAAGGATATACTGAGCGGCCAGCTTCCCGGTCAGAAGGGGGTCCTCAGAAAAGGACTCGAAGTTGCGTCCACCGAGAGGATGGCGATGCATGCATACGGTCGGCGCCAAGAGAACGTTGGCAGACCTAGCCTTGGCCTCATCTGCCAGATGCTGTCCGACTTCGTAGAGCAGTTCCTTATTCCAAGTCGCTGCGAGAGAAACGCCGCAAGGGAATAGTGCAGCCTTGTATAGTCAGTTACCCATCATTTGGAGTACTCGGTCAAAATGACAGACCTTGGTTCCCCCGACAAATATCCCCCCGCGAGCACCATTGGGACCATCTGATGTCTTGATCGCTGGGATATTCCTGGATGGGATTGTCTTCGTCCTCCAAAAGTCTGCGGCTGTAAGTAGAGATACCTCCAGAAAGAGTCAGCAACATTTCTCCATATTACGAAGGGACTTCATTAGCCGTACCTTCTCTTCAAGCGTGAGCTGCTCCAATTTCTTCCTCGCTGCCACCCTGGTGTCCTTCATTATCTGCTGCACCTTTTGTTGGGGGCTGTATGGAGGAGAGAACTCCGTGTTTGGGGTTGAGTTGCTCATCTCGGTCTCTGGGGGAGTGGCTGGCGGATCGACTTCGTGATCCTTAGCTCGCTGAGCCAAACTGTTCATGTTGGGGTCGAGCTCCAGTCTTCAGACCAAAACACTTCCAACTTGCGTAGCAAGACGGACAGCGAAATGTTGTGGGTTGAAAGACAGCGATGGCAAGGATGCAAGGAGCCTGACGCCAATGCCCAAAGGTATGTTCAGTGTAGAAAATGGAATGAGAAAGGTCAAACCAAAAAAGAAACCCCGACAAGTAATGGTGTCCTTTGCAAGACGTGCTTCCTCGAATCTGACCACTATAGGGGTGAATTCGACATGTAGTAAGCTTCAGTTCAGAGAGAAACAATAAGGTAGTGATGGACTCATATAAGACTTATATGGAACCCGAGGCGTGGGTGCACTGCCAGCACGAACGCTTTCCAGCAGCCGAGGCCGACATTTAACCGGTACAAATGAAAGATCATCACTAGCTATCAAGATAATATGGGCCAACGTGGAGAGAAAAAGGACGGAAATGATAGCAACAGGTGTGGAAGGGGGTGAGCGAGGAAGATGGCAAGATACCACACAGGCAGGGGACGTAAAGAAGACTAGTATGCGCAGGGACGGAGAGCCACTTCTCCCCGGATAAGGAACAAACGGAACCCCCAATCGTAATATGCCGGCTGTATGAGGGTATTTCTCCGTCCGTATATGATACAAAACGGAGGCATCGGGTCAGTAGGAGGATGGGAAGACCTCATGCGCAAAATACTTTAGCTCTCCTGCAGGTGAGGGATGCCGGTATTCCGCTGACTGCTGGCGCGTTGATAACCCAGAGTACCTTCTTGGTCGATTTCCCATACAAGATGTTGACTTGCAAGGTCCATGCCTGCTCTCCATGGGTGCTGCGCCTTTGTTATTTTGTTGCATTCTGGGCAAAGTAGGCACGCCGGTAGGGGCGGACCGTTTCTGCGGTGGAAGTTGAATAAGCTGAGAAAACTGCACAGGTTGGGGTTGATTATTTGAGGAGTGCATCAGATTGACAAACTGACAGTGAATAGTGTGACTGAGTGGGGGAACCAGGCACACCGAAGCGCTGTACAGCTTCCCGTCAGAGCATTCCCTGGGGGTGAGGTTAGCTAAATCGTGCATCTTCTTGGTTGTAACATCGGTTACGGTTCCGTTTAAAGCATCGTACCTTATTTCAGGGCTGCCATGTTCGTACCTCCATCATTGCATGGCCGCAAGATGTGGAGCTAGCACCAGCTAACAATACCTAGAAAAAAAGCCCGAAGCGGGATGGCGCAGGAAGATGCAGGACCGTATGCTTCGAGAAAGTCGTTGGCCCTGTTTTCCTTGGCCTAACGTGTCCGTTGCATCGTGATAATCGACTCCGAACTATGGCAACCTTCAGCAGCATCAGGATGAAGAACCGCCATTGACCTTGTCTTATTGGAATCTGGGATCCCAGAACAAGCCGAAAGATTTGTGGTGAGAACCAAGATTCACCTCAGTATCCCCGCATGCCTCCAGTCACTCCACACAGCCTCTCAATGGGTGTGTTAGGATGGGGCCCCCGGCATACCGGTTGCTATCGCCGCATGGTCATGGATACAGGGACCGTCGGACAGGCTGGCCTTCGTCGCTTCCATCCGACGAAGAGGGCCTCAAGGTGGGATCGCTTCAGAACTGCGCATTGCGTGCAATGTCCAGCTGATAAGTCTCAATAATCAATCTGCAGAAATAATGCCACGGATACCGAACCAGCTGACGAACATGGTCTGCTGCTGGCTAATGCTTCGAGCGGCCAATGGTGTGAAGTATCTCATGGTGCAATGTCCAGGCACCATCTTCCGACGGCCCTTCGATGCAGAGAATCTTGCAATGCCGGGACTTGGCAGTTTGGCAGTGGTAATTGCACACAAAGCAAACCAATGAGGCCACTACCCGTGCTCTCGCAGCGCAGCAAGAAGCTGGGCGTCTTCAGAGCTTCTAGAACCCGTAAGAGATCGGCATCATGTACAGTTGAGTGGTGAGAGATATAAAGGGCCGCATTTGGCCACTGCGATTTCAGTGGTGAAGGCGGCTATGGTTGGGAGAGTGATGTCCAGTAGGATAGGACGGACGGGAGACTGCATATGGCTGACAGGAGCATTTCGAGATCCACGTTGCCTTTTCCTCGCTCCTGCACCAACCCTGACTAGAGGATCCAGCTGGCGGCGCGACGGCCCGGCTTGCCCGTACGGCCGCGACGGATTGGCTAACCGGAGAGAAAATGCCAGGGGTGGTGGGGCGCGAATTCCGAGTCCCAGAGGGACGGCTTTTGACCATGCTTGTTTCCCGTAGCGGCATGACTGGTGTCGTTGTTGCTGGTGATTCTGTGTTGTCCGAAAATCGTTCCTCAGCTCTGGCAAGCCTGCTGTTGGTCAAGAATATGACTGTCTGAAGCGTCGAGGCTGCAATGGTAATTAGGCCATTGAATCGCAGGCTCTGGACATGATCAACGCCAGAGTTTGCCATGCCGACTGTCAGTCTGAACTTTGATTTGCAGAGCGTACGGCGAATTCTATTTCCATGAACCGGAAATGTAGCCAGACGTCTTTGTTGTTTGGAACGAGAAACCCGACACGGGGGATTGCCGTTGACAGGATGTGCCACGGACATGGAGGGTTGCTTCGAGGTACGGTGTCCGGCGGTGCCTGGTTTCTGGGCATAGCGGGGTTCCGAAGTGTTGGAGGGCATGGTCCATCGACAAACGCCAGAGTGCGACGAGCCGAGCGAACAACTTCGACACGTCCAGGGATCGAGATGTTCTGGCGATTGCTGTCTCGCTTGCATGGCGAAGTCGCATTGTCGATTGAAAGAAGAGGATCACCGCCGCCTAGCAAGCCGTTTGGCGCAGATGGATGACACCCTGGAAGCGGCCGATAATAGAGTTTGTCCAGGGTATCAACCTCTGTGCGCTGGCGTGCGAACAGAGGGTGTGCGGTTTTGCGGTTCAGGAACCGGTTCGATCAGCCATCTTGTCACGAAGGTTCATCCCATCGATGTGACGCAGACAACAGAGGTTCTTCGCTGCTCCATTCCCGCTGGGACTTCACATGCAAAATCTTCCATGACGAGGACCGGAGATGATGCAGGCCGGTGATATGCAGTAATTTGGTCGTCAAGCTCTGCATCTGCATGGGCAGGCAGGAAGTCAAGTCGGGGTGTTGAGATGTGGAGGTTGCAATATGTGAAGGAAGCATCACGGAAGGAGGATTGCGCGCTTGGCAGTGCGAAGTTGGGGAAGGTTCCCATCGGTGCCCCGCTCTGCCCTCTTTCCAACACCGGAGCTCAGAAAAGCGATCTGGACGTCGCGGAAGGAGCAGGGGAGTTCGGGTACCTGAATATAGCAAGCGGAGACGATATGACCTGCCTCGCTTGCCATGCGGCGACCCAACTTACGAAACAACCAGCCGGAAGTTTTCTGGGCCGCCCTTTCTTCGTTCCCGTCCTGTCTTCAGGTTCATGGAAACGGCCTTCTAGGAGGTTCTTAGTGTCTCTCGCGAGGAAGCTACCCAGTAGGTTAGAGTCTCGCCAAGGAGAAACTCGCAAAACCGCCTCATCCGAATGTCCGGTTGCCTTGTCTTGCATCTCCTCAATAGTGTGTCCTTTTTGAGAAGTTGAGTCAGTCCCGGACTCTGTAACAGAGGGCCAACATCAGACTGAACCTCCACGGAGCCGATCCGAACGGTTCCCGATCCAGAATTTTGGCAACTGTCAACTCGGGCTGTGTGACGCCTATGTTTCCAGCACAGCGCGACTTTCTCGGTACAGACTACGCGATTTTCTTATACCTTCAAGTCGCGATGTCGTCGGCGAACACTCCACAATCCCCAGACTCCAGTTCCCCCGCAGAAGCTCTTCTCCACCCGGCCGGCTCCATGGCTGGAAGTGGGCTATCGGAGCTCCTCCGATGCCGCCAACTGCCGCAGACATGATGAACGCATTGCACGCTCATCCTTGTCCGGTGGGACCTCGCCGTACTCACGCTTCTCGGCGACCAAACAACTCCCCTATCGCGGAGTGGCCCAATTGTCGCCAAAACTGTTTCCTATCACCGGCAGCCGATCCATACATCCATCCATCAATAGTATCTTGGTCTTTGCCGCTCCCGACTGCCGTCCGGCCGGTCCCATCCCCGAAACATCATGTCCGTACTAAACGATGAATAGTTTCGATTTTCCAGTTTTTGCTCTCCCAATGGCAATTTTTGCAATCACTTACTTGTCAACTCTGGATCTTTCAAATTTCCCGAATTGCGAAATCCTTGCAGCAACTAAAACCGAGGCCCTGCAGCATAGTAACACGACTACACCACTCTCGTGCATTCCATCCCTCCCTAAATGGTATCGCTTGCATGAAAAAGGGCTAGCGAAGACTCGTCGCTGTGACCTCCCCATCGCAAATCTTACGACGGCTTCTCTTGGCCGAGGCTTAGTGCCGTGTTTACATACTGTATCTTACACATGCCTTCGGGCCCTTCCTGCAGCGAAGTACGGTGCCGACTATGGTCGAATACGAACTGCAGGCGTGGGAGCCGCAACTTCCAAAAGAAGAAGCTCATGGCACACCAAACGACAGCCCATTGCGACATCAAGAAAAGGAAGAAGACAACGTACAACGCTCACCGGCGCAATGCCCGCAAGATACTGACGACGACGACACGACGCAGAGTTCCGCCCTAGGATCTTCGGCCCACGAGCCGATTTCCCCAAAGAAGCAAAGTTTCGTCCGACGCTTCTGGAGCGAGCAGATCAGCGTTGTAGTGGATTTCGACAGCTGTCGTGATCACCTAGGTACGTGGTACAGCCCTTTCTTGCCCGTCAATATCATTCCGAGTTTCATACATGGCAAGCTATCAAGATCGAGGATTCGGGGGCTTCCACATCGTCTCCGTGGTCCACGGACCCAAGCCTCCATAATGGAGATGAGCCTGGCAATGGCAGGGATGTGCTCATGATTCATCCACAGTTCATTTGTGCTGAGGCCATGTTACCGTAGCCCGAAACCCTTTAATTCTCTCAATCGCAATTGACCCT